GGGCTGGGGATTCAAACCTGCCACCTTAGGTGTACGTGGCTGGCACCTTAGCCGGTTGAGCTATAGGCGCCGAGCCTGCCCCAGGTCTTGAATGTCAGAGGCTCCTCTGAATGGAGTCTGAGTCCCTGCCAAATGGGCATCATCACACCCCATTGCACCAGGTCCCCCCATATGCAATCCCACCTCAAAACACCCTATAGAGAGCTGACAGGACTGGATCCTGACTGGGTGGGTGGAAAATAAGCAATCAGACGAAGGCAACTAGCACCAAAGGACTGAGGAAGGGTTCACCTGGCCTCGAAAATTCAAAAAACACATGTGATAACCAGGACCATCAGCAGACTCCCCAGATGAGTCTCGTGTATGAGATGGTGAACCAGAGTATGACATGGCTCTGCAAGGTCAAAAAGCTACACGTTGCCCACAAGTCCACATCTACTCAGTGGCCCAGACCTAAAGCAGTGAAAGCCACCCATCCTGGCACAGTACAGTGTGTAGCAGGGAGAGCTGTGGCCTCATCTCTCTTAGGTCAACCCAGAGGGAGCTACAGTGACACCTCACAGCAACCCACACTTTGGCCCTGCCATCCCACTTCTGGGCAGATAAGCCAAGGTGAAAACCAAAAGAAACTGATACCTTCCATACCACCCAGGGTCTTTATAGCAGTGCTGTTCCTAACAGCAGCCCCTACTACCTCCCACCTCCTCTCCACAACCCAGACACCCACACATGACAAGGCCAGGAGCTGACTGAGGGGGCAAAGAGGCCAGCCTGGCTCCCACACACCCTCGTATACCTATGAAAAGGATCTGTGTGCGGGTGGGCAGAAGTTGGTGAGCTCTTTTCTGAAAATACTTAAATATTTCTTTAAAATTACTTTAAGCTTCCCAAGTTAGGGGCTCAGTGTCAGCAGATAGGTTCCTCTTTGCTACTTTCCAAAGGTCCATACCTGGAAATAAACCCCAAGTGCTCCCAAGGTGAGGGTCCAGGGAGGAGGGGCACCTCTTTCAGGATAGTAGGGGGTCATGCCAGATGGTAAGGACACTGGGATGTCCTGGGTCAAGTTCACAGGTCAAGCCTGAGGCCAAGGGAGAAGGCTCTAGGCAGCTTGGGCCTTGAGTGTATAACACACTTAGGGAGCCTGCTGAGGACCCTGTCCTGTCCCAGGGAACCCTGAGCCCCACACAAGCCAGTGACCAGCCTCCCTCCTTGGCAGGTCACCCGATAGACTTACCAGAAGATGGATGTGCCCTGCTGCCTCTTCTGGCCTGGCCAGGCAGGGCCACGTGTGGGGTCCCAAGCCATATTTAAACCTAGAGGGAGAGCCAGAAAGGGAGCAGAGCGTGAGAGGAGGAAAGAAGGGGTGGAGGGGACAGGGCTACAGGCATGGGGCCCTCCCCTGCAGTGTACCTGCCCCAGGTTCAGGCAGCCTGGCCCCACCTCCAATGGACCTGGGCTCACCCACCCAGGTGGGCTCAGGTCCCACAAGGTTGTCCTATAGGTCCTCCACGACAAAAAGACAAATGGTCCCTTTGGCACACTCCAAAACAAAACTACCCTGAGGGTGGGAAAGGGTGCTCTACTATCCCCTTCAGGCCTGAACCAACCATAGGAATCGACCCCATCACCCAGGCCTTGAAATTTGGGGTGCTCCTGTGAGAAGGCAGGAGGAGTATACCTGGGGTTCTCGTGTCCCTCTGAGGAGACACTAGCCCTGGCCTGTCCTCTGCTACCTGCCCAGGACAAAGAACCTCTGCCCACTGGCCTGCCACCAAGCTCCTGCCCTATACCTGCTCTGCGCCAAGCTCCCATACCATGCACTGCTGTGACACCCACTGGGCTCCCGAGGGAGAAACAACACAAGTGCTTTTTACAAAACAGCTTAAAGTTCACTGCCACATTGTTGCCCTCAGACGGATGACCTCCCAGACAGATGGCCCAGACCATTATTATTATCATTATTTTGAGACAGAGTCTTATAATATCACCCTTGGTAGAGTGTTGTGGCGTCACAGCTCACAGCAACCTCCAATTCTTGGGCTTTAGTGATTCTCTTGCCTCAGCCTCTCAAGTAGCTAGGACTATAGGCACCCACCACAACGCCTGGCTATTTTTTGTTGCAGTTTGGCCGGGGCTGGGTTTGAACCCGCCACCCTCAGTATATGGGGCTGGTGCCCTACTCACTGAGCCATAGGTGCTGCCCAAGAACAAGCTTATTTTAAGAACAAGCTTTTGATTTACTCTAGTCTTTGCAGGTTTTGTTTTCTTTCTTTTTCTTTTTTTTTTTTTTTCCATTATATTACCCTGAGTCTCATTATGTCACCCTCCGTAGAGTGCTGTGGTGTCACAGCTCACAGCAACTTGAAACTCTTGGGCTTAAGAGATTCTCTTGCCTCAGCCTCCCAAGTCGCTGAGACTACAGGTGCCCGCCACAACGCCCAGCTATTTTTTTGTCGTAGCTATCATTGTTGTTTAGCAGGCCCAAGCCAGGTTCAAACCTGCCAGCCACAGTGTATGTGGCCAGCGCCCTAACTACGGAGCTATGGGTGCCGAGCCTCATTTTGTTATTTTCATTGGTTTCTGCTCTTATCTTCACTATTTCTCTCCTATTTATTTTGGGTTTACTTTGCTCTTCTTTTTTTAGTTTCTCTTTTTTCTTTCTTTTTTTGAGACGGAGTCTCAAGCTGTTGCCCTGGGTAGAGTGCTGTGGTATCTTAGCTCACAGCAACCACCAACTCTGGCTCAAGCAATCCTCTTGCCTCAGTTTTTCTATTTTTAGTAGAGACAGGGGAGGGGGTCTTTGATTTTGCTCAGACTGGTCTCGAACTTGTGAGCTCAAGCAATCCACCCTCCTCAGCCTCCCAGAATGCTAAGATTACAGGCATGAGCCACCGTGCCTGGCCCCTACATTTTTTCTTAAAGGTGGTTTATGGTGGAATTTTATGAGCTCTCTGCGTCTCCCATCCCTACTTGAGGCCAGAGGAGCAGTGGAGAGGGAGGGCCTGGCAGGCCCTAGCACCCAGCTCCACAGTCTCTACTTCCAAAGGCAGACCTCAGGGATGTGGCTGAGACCAATGGCTGTGGTCTCCCCTCCTCACTCCTTTGCTTTTTTGTTTCACTTGCTCTTGAAACCTAGGACCCCATGAAATCAACAAGTCTTGAGTCCTTCCTGGAGGAAGGTCCAGTCCTGGGCTGCTCTACAGCTCAAAGAGTTCTCCAACTTTGAACTCCTGGAGATTCCAGCTAAATGCCACCTCAACCTAATTCTACAGGGAGCCCTGGGTGGTGAACTGCACCACAGACACTCTCTTTTTTTATTACCCATCTGGCAATAAAACACTGAGTCCACCTGGGAGTCACATCTCACCCCTCTCATTCCTATCTTAGGCTAAACAGAAGTGCCTCCTTCCATTCTCCTAAGTATGGAAAAACAGGCTGGCGGAGGTGGCTCACACCTGTAATCCTAGCACTCTGGGAGCCTGTGGCGGGTGGATTACCCTGAGTGCACAGGTTCAAGACCAGCCTGAACCACAGCAAGACCCCATCTCTAAAAATAGCCCAGTGTTGGCTCAGTGTCTGTAGCTCAGTTGTTAGAGTGCCAGCGACGTACAACGAGGCTGGAGGGTTCAAACCTGGCCCAGGCCTGCTAAACAATGACAACTGCAACAACAAAAAAAGAGTTGAAGGGTGCTGTGAGCTGTGACACCATAGCACTCTACTGAGGGCAATGCAGTGAGACTCTGTCTCAAGAAAAAAAAAGTTGGTGACAAGACAGATACTGACTAGGCTTTTTTTTTTTTAAATTAAATCATTGCTGTGTATATTAATGCTGACTAGGCTTTGACAAACTCCTTTTCTGCTTAGAGTTGCCAGAATTAGTTTCTGTTGCCTAAAATTAAGAACATTAGATCTGGACATAGCAGCTCATGTCTGTAATCCTAGCAATCTAGGTCTAGGAGGCTTAGGCAGGAGGATTCCTTGAAGCTCAGGATTTTAAGAGCAACCTCAGAAAGAGTGAGACCCCCATCACCACTAAAAATAGAGAAAATTCCCAGGGGGACAGCTTGAGGCTCTGTCTCAAAAAAAAAAAAAAAAAAAAAATAGAGAAAAATTAGCCCAGTATGGGGCAGGTGACTACAGTTCCGGCTACTTGGGAAGCTGAGGCACCAGGACCACTTGAACCCAGGAGTTTGAGGTTGCTGTGAGCTAGGCTGAGGCCACAGCCCTGTAGCCCCGGTGACAGAGTAAGACTCTGTCTCAAAATAAAAAAAAAAAATTGAGGCTCAGCGTTTATAGCTCAGTCCTTAGGGTGCTGGCCAAGTACACTAGGGCTGGCGGGTTAAAACTTGGCCTGGGCCTGCTAAACAAACAAGCAACAACAACAACAACAAAAAATAGCTGGGCGTTGTGGTACGTGCCCGTAGTCCCACCTACTAGCGACTGAGGCAAGAGAATCACTGGAGCCCAAGAGTTTGAGGTTGCTGTGAACTATGATGCCACAGCACTCTACAAAAGGTGACAAAGTGAGACTCTGGGGCGGTGCCTGTGGCTCAGTGGGTAGGGCACGAGCCCCATATACTAAGGGTGGCAGGTTCAAACCCAGCCCTGGCCAAACTGTAATCAAAAATAGCTGGGCATTGTGGCAGGCACCTGTAGTTCCAGCTACTCAGGAGGCTGAGGCAGGAGAATCGCCTAAGCCCAGGAGTTGGAGGTTGCTGTGAGCTGTGTGATGCCATGGCACTCTACAGAGGGGAATAAAGTGAGACTCTGTCTCTACA